AACCGTCATTGGCGATGACTTAAAGTGTTAGCCCTTTGTTAAATAAACTAACCGTCATTAGCGGTTACTTCAAACGTACGTGAGAAATTTATTTGTTTTAAGTACGTTTAGAATTATGAAACAGTTCCTGAGACTGTTATAAAAAAGGCTGAGTATTGGAAATTATTACCTGTTTATCCTTTAGGCAATTTTATCTTCAGAATATTACTTGAAACTAAACACCGTGAAGCACACGAAACTTCATATCAACCAAATAATTGTCTATATTTGTTTTGTGCTTAAGCGCAAAGCTACACAATGGAATATTTGCACTGTGCCCATTGCGGGTATTGAACCCCAATTTTGAGTTACATGCCTTCAAACTTACTTCTGAACGACCAGGAGGCACAATTAGATATAAGTCGATTAAACATAAAAGACAGGTTTTCACATGTTTTATATTGTTAACACTTTTATCACTCAAATTCAGCGTCATCATATAGTCGGACAGTGTAATCATACCTTTATATTCAGATGGTGCTTCAGGAGATCTGTGCAATGACAAAGGAGGTGTATTAACAGCAACTCCTGTTAGTAATGAAAAAAAAAAAACACTTAGTAACGAAGGAAGAGTGTTACCAAGATCTTCTGTTATTAGTGCAAGAAAAACAGCAACAAAAACTCACTAACGAATGAACAATTTACTTGTATCTTTTGTTTGTTTGTGTTGAATTTCGCGTAAAGCTACACGAGGGCTATCTACACGGCTGAAAGGTCGAGCATGTTTGGTGTGACGGAGATTCGAACCCGTAAATTGCGAGTTGAGCTCCTTAACCACCTCGCCATGCCGTGCCTATCTTCTGTTAGTAACACAAAAAATCACTTTGTAATGAAAGAAGATTAATGTTATCAATGTTCTCTGTTAGTAAGAAAAAAAAACACTTATTAAAATCTTATCAAAACTTCAATATATATATATATATATTTCTAGTGAAGTTATAATTGTAGTCTTCCTTAATATTGTTTCAAGTAAGTTTTAGTATCTGTAAAAAATGTTTAAGCCTAGTATAAATACCACGTAAAGACGAATTTTAATGGAATAACATGTATAAAGTCTTTAAATGATGTTTAACCAGTTTTATATCAAACCAGTTCCTTCGGGAGGGAGAATTTCTTAGCTACAAATATATATGCAGAGTAACTTCGCTACAATATGACGCACAAAATTTGTAGAAAGTTCACCTAAACAGACTTGTCAGAAACTGATATTTTGTGAAATTCACAAAATAAATAACATATCAAAAAATTCACAGTATTGAGAAGAAAAAAAGTGTTTCCGTTAAATGAAACTTACATGTAATTTTTTTAAGAATAATTCAATTTACAATGGCTGTTACAAAATTTCAGTTTTGTATAACGACATAAATGTCAATAGATGACGCTACAACTTAATCAATAACATAAGTCGGTTATAAAAGCAGAAAAATACAAGCATTTAATATCGGATCAGCTATCATCTATACAATGAAAATGTTTTGTTTAAAAAGTATTTAAGATCGCAGTCGTGGAATTTCATAACACAGTAGCGAGTCATTTTGTGTAAGTAACAAACATTGCAGTTTTGATGTTAAAAATTATTTCCACTATAAAACTGTTCACGATATCAAAATTTCTTAATACAATGATTTCTTTACAGGAATGTATTTTTATATATATGTATATATAAAGAGATAGACAGATGCATAGCATATGATAGTATGTATAAAACACATGTCGAAATATGTGGTTTTAAAACATTCTGATGATTTCGTAAAAATTCGGTTCTTTTTGAAAGCAGTTTAACTTGCATGTGCTTATTGACTTTCCTTCATGGATAACAATTTTTTGTTTATAATTTCATGGTTACATCCATTTCCAAAAGAAACAATGAACCTAATAAAGTGATGTCAGTTTGAAAATTACGTTCGTGTTTGTTTTTGTGTTTGTGAATACGAAAGGCCGTTTTGATGTGTTTTCAACTAAAAGCTAGCACTCTGGTTTTTTCTTTGCCTTTAATAATGCAACTTAGATTTAACTACACATAAAACTCTAGCTGGGGTCGATTATAATACAGGTTTTGTTAGTTAACAATTTTTCATGAGAATATATTCGTGTTATGTTAATGTTACGACAGCGGAAGTCACGTGACTCTGATGAGTTTCTCGAACGATCGGGGAAGTCCGCGTGTGTTCGAGTTGCCCATTTCGTTAGAATATAAGCCTGGCAGAGAAAACTAGCAGGAATGAATGAAGAAAGAGCAGTAGTTACTTCGAGTTCCGTGTAATTTATGATTCTGTTAGTTTCGAGCTAGTGAGCCGTAAAGTTTGTGTGCACTCGTCGAGAGCGAAATTATCGAGATTGTGAATCGCTGTGACTTATAGCGTGTATTATAAAAATTATTAAGTTTAAAGTGACGAGAAACGTACTGATTGTGGAACTTCTATGTACTAAAAGTTTGTATCAAGGAAGAATAAACTGGTTTAATCAAGAAAGGACTTGTATCGCTGAAGATTCTCGGTAAGAATTTCTACCAGAAACAAACAAACAAGCAGATACGCAACATTATGCATATGTGTGGCCTAAGTATAAACCTTAATTAAAGAAAGTGTTGAAAAACTACATAACTTTTAAATATATTACTACAAATTAATTTAATTTAATCAATTGACGTAGTAGGCTTTAAAAAATAGTACCTATTGACATTATCTGTCGGTTTATGAGCTTATAACGTAAAAGTGCATGGTTTGATCCCTGCTGTGGGAACTGCTCAGATATCCATTACGCAACTTTGTGCTTAAACAAATCCAATAGAAAAAGTAAATACGAAGTATTAGAAAGTGAGACCACGTGCACAATAACGTTCACACTGATTACGATCAGTTATACAAAAGTTTTAAAAAAATTAGTAATTTATACATCATCAATTGAAAATGTTTCAATAAACAGAACAGTTTGTACTTTCCTGTCAAAAATACTTTTCTGCGTGACATACATAAACTCTTTTATAGACACATAAAAGTTATTTCTTTCTTTCAAAGAAGAAATAAGTCGTTGTTATTTTAATTTAGAAACTCTGATAACAACTAATCTTGTGTTACGCCTCCAGTCGTTAGTTGATTTTACGTAACTTCGTTCCGACGAAACTTTAGCGACACAAGTCCTTACTTAATAAAACTGGTTTATTTCTTCCGAACACAACTTTACGATACACTTATTTTCAACAGTCGCGCTATAACAAACGCTATATCTCACGTGGCCAACAATATTTTGTCCGCATACATTCAATTACTCATTACACTGTTCTCCCGTCACGTTGTC